TGGGGGGTGGTGGGGGGGGTTGCCTGCGTACGGCTGGGAGGGGTTTAATTTTTCCGCCCGCCGCCATTTTTTTTCATGGCTGCTGTTGAGAGGAAAGGGAGGAGGGATGAGCGCGCACGCAACGCGTGGAATGCTCAGCGCGAGCCCCCCCCCCCGGCTCTCTCCGCTCTCTCTCCCCTCCCAGTTCCTGCGTGAAACGTTCCATTCACTTTCTCTAACTGCAGCCATGCATCTTCCCTGCATTAGTCTTTGCCTTTAATTCTTGGCTCCTCTTTTTAATGCCCCACAAAGAGTTAAAGATTCTCTTCCTTGATTAATTTTTTTAAAAGCGTGCACATTTTATGCACACATCTCCACCTGGCCGGCGTGCCCTTTTTAAACCATATTATATGTGGCCCCGTCCGAAAGGACGGGTGTTGTAAGATAGTTTGTATTTGCATGCTTGCAAAGTTATCGGCCAAGGAAGGCGGGAACACGACTAGTTGCAGAGGAAGCCCTGGGGTAAAGCCGCGAAGCTCTCAGTGCTTGGCCGGACAGAGCACAGCAGCCGCTTGCAAGTCCCTGGCTGGCCTTTCCAAGCGAGTACTGTGGAGATTTAAGGTTTCCCATTTTCATGGTTACTTACAGGTCCCATCACACTCTCCCAGGAAAGAGGATTGCCTCTCTTCTCTTTCGCTTTGATCGTGTTTTTGGCCCTTTTCCACGTGGTTGAGCCCTGGGGTCGGCATGCTGCGTTGCCCGAAGTACGTTAGTTTTTCAGCCGCTTTTATTCATAACTCACTTTAATGTTGGTTTCTGAAGTAAAGGGAGTTCAGTGGGAAGGACTGAGTCTAGCAAAATCCTTGAATTTTGTGTGCTGCGGTTCTAGCCCAATGTTTTCGAAGTTTGTACAATACAGCTGCAGAAAATTATTTCATTGGTACAGTGATGAAGTACAGTGTTACCACCTCTTTGGTTCTAGGCAGAAGTACCCCTGTAATACTTAACGCTGGGGGGCATGTTTTCTGTCACATTGTAGTGATTTTCTATTCAGTAAATAAAACAAGGCAGATTTGGACATAGCATAATTAGTTCCTAAATTGGACTAGTGTGGATTCTCTTGTGTCCTAAAAATGGTTTGAGACTTGAGTAATAGCTAGTATGGTTGCAAGGCCGAGCTTCTCTATGGGGGAAATAGCGTGCTACGCTGCGTTAACGGTGGCTTTAGACAACTTGTTAATAAGTACCAGGCCTGTTTGGGACAGGAAGGGGGTGGGTTACTATTCTCTAAAACAAGTTCCTAAACTGAAGTCTACAGGCATTTTTAAAACTTCGATTTCCCACTAAATCCTGCTAGCAGTGTTCTGCCTAACCTTGGCTGGCATTTTAATGGGAGATATGTTATGAGCGTATCCAATTCTCCCATTGATATCAGTGTAGTTTAGAAATGCTTTACTGGCTAGATCATTGCTGTGGTAAATCCATAGCAGCATTGACCTTAGTTCTTACCTGCCTGTGGCAGTTTAAATTGTAAAGTTTCAGAGTCTACCTCAACCCATCAAATACACTTTTGTAATATTGTTTAACTTTCTTGAACAGTGGAGGAACATACTAACAAACAGTAACATTCTAGCAAGTAATTCAAGGGGAAGGGTAGGGTATTTCCTTTTGAAGAAACTGTAACATATAGACCAGTTTAAATAATAGAATAAATTTACTCACAGTTTAATTGTACATCCTGTTTGAATCTGCTGATGCTGTATGTGCTGGGCCATGTCCTGGGGCTGTGTTCGTAAAACTTATTTGCACTTAGTTTCATAGAAAGTAACATTTATGTTAGTTCTGATGATCCACCTCTCTTCTGTAAATAACCTTGTGTGAGCAGAGCTACGTGGGAACAGTCTCTCCTGCAACCTGGAGAACTGATTTTTTTCCATTTCATGGAAGAGAGCCCACAGCCTTGTAAAAGGCTGGCTGCTCAGTGGCACACTGTTATGTGAACAATTCCTTGGAAAAAGTGAGTAGCTCTTTGATCAGAACCTCAGAGCTTGTGATTACAAATACAAGACACAGAATTATAACATTTCTATCCTACCAAGGTAGCTAACAGCGAAAACAGCTTAATGAAATGGAAATGTCTTCGGACAGCGCTGGCTCTTCGGCTTTGAAACAGAAATGAGCACTGCAACCCTAGAGTCGGATTCGACAGGCTTTCGAGCAAGGGAACCTTTACCTTTAAAGTACATATATGGAAACAGGGCAGTATATTAAAATATAAAGCAGAAAGGGAGGGTTGAAGGAACGCAGGACAAATCACAAACATCTTTACCCACTGGCTGAAGGCAGTGATAGAAGGGAACAAATGAATATCCGTGGGGGGTGAGTTCCATAAATAATATGATCTAAAGATAAACTATATACTTGGCTTTTGATCAGCCTTTGACAAGAGCAGTGCCACTGTGCACTGAAATCAACGTGGCTGGTTTTAAGCATACCACTCTGAACTCATGTGGATCTATAGTGGCATGCCAAAAAAAGAGAACAACATTGCAGGATATGCACATATGAAACTTGCTGCATCTGATGTAGTCAGAAGTTAGTACAGGCTGGCTTTGAAAGCACAAATTGCCTCTGATTAAGCTGATTGTGTGGATAGACTCTGAGTCCTGGTATTATCAGATGGTCTTCATTTGGTTCCAAAGGGCCGCCTGACTTATTTCACAATTACTTACTTTCAGCACATAGTTTGAAACCCTAAGATATGGCCGAAATCCAGTGTTGCCTCTACTAAGGCCCACTGAAATCAATGGGACTTAAATGGGACTCTTCTGGATTGTGGCCAGGGCGCTTTATTTAGATTACAAAAATTGGTTCTAATCAGTGCTCCCTCTGGTCTTGTGAGCAAAAATTCTACTTTGTGGGCTACTAGCATTAAGATGTGAGTAAGCTGTTTGGCTACTGCATAACTTAGTTTGCTGTGGAACCATTCTTCCTGAGCAAAGACAAAAAAATGTGTGAACCTGAGACTAAAAAAAAGGAGCTAGCTCACACTAACTCAGCTTAGAGGGAACACTGGTGCTAATATCTGGTTGCTATAGCATTAAAGCCTTGCAGTCTTTTACAATTAAAAAGGTCATTATTAAGAATAAAAAGTTCTGTGAGAGGCTAAGTAGAGTTTATGCAAAAATAAATAGTGCTATTTTGTCTTGTTCTTTTAAATGTAGGCAGAGTAGGATAATCTGATAGTCTCAGTGAAATTTGCTTCCATATTCTTTTTACTTCTTGCAATGTAGGAATGTAACATTTTTTTTTTTTAAAATAATAATTGCATGGAGTATCTATTCTGTTATCATATAGTAGTTTTGTGTCATTTGTGCCTGGAAACCTCTTTATAGGTTAATTCAAAGTTATCTTTAAACTATTTTTTTTTTACTAGGCTTGTCTCCAAGAAAACAAACCAAAATATTTCCTAAGGAGGAAAAGCTTGTGGTACATCTTGCACTCAAATCATGTCTGTTCGGGAGTCCTTTAATCCAGAAAGTTATGAACTTGACAAGAGTTTTCGGCTAACACGATTTACGGAACTGAAAGGCACCGGTTGTAAAGTGCCTCAGGATGTCTTACAGAAATTGCTTGAATCTCTACAAGAAAATCACTTCCAAGAAGATGAACAGTTTTTGGGAGCTGTTATGCCAAGATTAGGTAAGTGGCAGTTCTTTAATGGTGGTTTCACTTGCTGGAGACTGATCTTGATCCACCAGAGAGCTACAGATTTTTCATTGAAACAATGAGTTTCACAATATACATACTAGTGAAAAGGTAACTTATTCTGAGTTGTTTCACATGTTACGGTTAACCTGTATGAAATGGATAAGGTGGGTTATTGGTTCGTAAAGTGCTTGAGAACTGATTGCCAAACATTTGTCATGTTTGAAGAATTCATTTATTAGAACTATAAGAGAGACTGTACTAATTATAAAAATATGATTTGGTTTAATTATGGGATAAATTGGACTCCTTATAATTTTTAAAGTTGAAGATTTGTGTAAGTATATACATGCTAGACAGCAAGCTTTTAGCAAAATATAGCTGTGGACTTATGTAGGGGTTTTCAGCTGGTTTTATTATATACTGCTTATAATATGAATGGATGCATTTGAGTTTGTTTTATGCTTACTATTCTGTGTTTATTTTAGTATTTTAATTTCCATATGTCAGCTGCTTTAAAGGCTTGTAGATATAAAAGCTTTTAATATTAAAAGAGTCTATTCTAAACAGCAACATAGGCTGCAATCCTAAGGACATGGGACTTAATTCTGAATATATCTGTTTAGAGTTGTTCCCAAAATGCATTTCAGATAAACTTAAAACATGCATAGCAACTATAAAAAAGTCAAATTCCAGATCATAATCCAGAGTAATAGGTGCTAGTTCCTGAATGAAATATGTGTAGGTGTGTCTCAGTCTCCTGCAGGGCCCTGTCACCAGTCCTATCAGATGGCATCATAACACAGCGTAAACAGTACATAAGGGTATTTTTCGCCTAGTGGAATAGTCTGTTCAGCTGACCCAAGATCCCATGTCTACTTGGGGAGAGTTTGGGGAGTCGTAAACTATATTGGTTGAGAATAGTGAACCCACCATTGTACTGCTCATGTGTGTTTTTCAGGAGGAGTTTTCTAAGCAGAGGAAATAGTCTAACCTTGAATCTGAGCTAACTAGCAGCAGCAGTGATATTTTAATGTTTGTAACTTGGGCTGATTTCGCACTAGAGCTGCCTCGATGTTGCGCCGCCGTTTGCCCCGATACTATTGGTCAATTTCACACCCGAAGCCGCGGGGCTGCATTTGACCCGTGGCTTCACCCGATTTCCTCCGCAGTTTCGTGATCCTCAAAGAACAGCTCTAGTGCGAAATCAGCCTGTGTCATAAAAATCTGTGGCAAGCTGCAAGAGTAAATTGTGTTTTGCTTAAACAGAAATATCTCCGCCCTGTGCACTTTGAGTGTGTAAACTCTTAATTTTCTAACACTATGATCTACCCTACTTGTCATGTGGATTTCAACTACCATGCTTAACAATGGGACAGTGAAATTTTCAGCATCTAGGATTTTAAAGAAACATGGCAGCTCAAATACAGAAAGCTGGTACTTTGACAGTAATACATGTATGCTTACACTTAAGGAATACACTGAACGATGTTTGTAATTGCATATAATGATGCTCATGTGGCACCCGCCGCCTTCCTTTTCATTATCCTTCCCTCAACCTGTGAGTAGTGCTGACTAGCATGGAAGGAAGCCTGACAGTGCTGCTGCGTATTGCTAGGCTTGTGTCAATTTGGGAAATCTTTTCCAGCTTGCCAGCATATATGCTGTCCCCATCAACCCTGTGTGCAGTGATTGGGTGCCTGAGGGTCTTCTGGGGCATCCAGTATTTGTGGAGAATGTCTAATCAGGTATATGAGGTACAGCTTCTGCTCAATAAGGCTTCCTTGTACTAAATGAGAATATACTGCTGTGGAATCTCAGAAGATCTGAAGCATCTTCTTTATGAGAATCATAGAATCACAGAATTAAGAACATGAGAGAAGCGAATGTTGGATCAGGCCAAAGGCCCATCCAGTCCAACACTCTGTCACACAGTGGCCAAAAAATACCAGGTGCCATCAGGAGGTCCACCAGTGAGGCCCGGACACTAGAAGCCCTCCCACTGTTGCCCCCCCCCCAAGCACCAAGAATACAGAGCATCACCTGTCCCAGAGTCCCTATCCATACCTTGTGGCTCATAGCCACTAATGGACCTCTGCTCTCTATATTTATCTAATTCTCTCTTGAAGCCGTCCATGCTTGTAGCCACCATCATCTCCTGTGGCAGTGAATTCCATGTGTTAATCACTCTTTGGGTGAAGAAGTACTTCCTTTTATCTGTTCTAACCCGACCATTCAGCAATTTCATTGAGTGCCCACGAGTCCTTGTATTCTGAGAAAGGGAGAAAAGTACCTCTTTCTCTACCTGCTCTATGCATAATCCTATGCATAATCTAATAAACCTCGATCATGTCCCCCCTCATCCATCATTTCTCCAATTAAAGAGCCCCAAGCGCTTTAACCTTTCTTCATAGGGAAAGTGTTCCAACCCTTTTATCATTCTAGTTGCCCTTTTCTGCACTTTTTCCAATACTTTGCCATGTTGACGCCCACTCGCCCATCCTTGACAGATCCCCTTGGAGTGCCTCACAATCCTCACTGGTTTTCACCACCCTGAACAACTTTGTATCATCTGCAAATTTAGCCACTTCACTGCTTACTCCCATCTCCAAATCATTAATGAACAAGTTAAAAAGCAGTGGACCAAGTACTGATCCCTGCGGTACCCCACTGCTTACCACCCTCCACTGAGAAAATTGCCCACCTACACTCACTCTCTGTTTTCTATGAACTAGCCAGTTTTTGATCCATAAAAGGACTTGTCCTTCTATCCCATGATTTTTGAGCTTACTTAGGAGCCTTTGATGAGGAACTTTATCAAAAGCTTTCTGGAAGTCAAGGTAAATAATATCTATTGGATCCCCCTTGTCCACATGTTTGTTCACCCCCTCAAAGAACACTAACAGGTTAGTGAGACAAGATCTTCCCTTACAGAAACCGTGCTGAGTCTGCCTCAATAGGTTTTGTTCATCTATGTGCCTACTAATTCTTTCCTTAATAATGGTTTCCACCAATTTACCCGGTATCGACGTCAGACTGACTGGCCTGTAATTTCCCGGATCTCCTCTGGAACCCTTTTTAAAGATGGGAGTGACATTAGCTACCTTCCAATCCTCAGGAATGGAGGCAGATTTTAAGGAAAGATTACATATCTTTGTCAGGAGATCTACAAGTTCACATTTGAGTTCTTTCAGAACTCTTGGATGTATGCCATCTGGGCCTGGTGATTTATCAGTTTTTAAGTTGTCTATCAGTAGTAGGATCTCCTCTCTCATCACCTCAATCTGACTCAGGTCTTTCAACACCCCTCCTGAAATCAGTGGTTCTGGAGTGGGCAAGCACTTCTCATCTTCCACAGTGAAGACGGAGGCAAAAAATGCATTTAGCTTCTCAGCCATTTCCCTATCATCCTTCAATACTCCTTTTACCCCTTGGTCGTCCAAGGGCCCCACTGCCTCCCTGGCTGTTTTCCTGCTTCTAATGTATTTGAAGATTTATTGTTGGTGTTTATGTTTTTCGGTATATGCTCCTCATATTCTCTTTATGCCTGCCTGATCACAGACTTGCATTTTATTTGCCACAGCCTGTGTTCCCTTTTATCAGCCGCCTCACTGTGACTAGCTTTCCACTGCTTAAAGGAATTCTTTTTACTTTTTACAGCCTCCATTACTCTGTTTGTTAACCATGCAGGCTTTTTCCTATACCTGTTTGTGCCTTTCCTAACCTGCGGAATATATATTTTTTGAGCTTCTAGGATCGTAGTTTTAAATAGATCCCAAGCTTCCCCAATGGTTTTGTCCCTTTCTACTTTTCCTTTCAGTTTCCTCCTCACATGTCCCCTCATATCAGAGAAGTTACCCCTTTTAAAGTTCAAAGTGGTGGTGACAATCTTTTGGTCAATTCCCTATTTATACAAATGTTGAACTCAATAACATTATGGTCACTATTCCCAAGCAATGCAATCACTTCTACATCTCTCACCAGGTTTTGGGCATAATTTAGGACCAAATCCAGGATTGCCTCTCCCCTGGTAGGTTCCGTGACCATCTGCTCCATAGCACAGTCATTTAGAGTGTCTAGAAACTCAATCTCTTTTTCCCGGCTAGAACACATATTGACCCAATCAATGTGTGGGTAGTTAAAATCACCTATTATTACACAGTGTTTTTGTCTAGTTGCTATCTTTAAGGCATTCATCATTTTATAATCCTCCTCTATCTTTTGATCTGGTGGGCGATAACAAACTCCCAGTGTTAAGTTTCCTTTTGGGCCTACTATTTCAACGCATAGCATTTTCAGAAGCGAATCCAATTCTCTTACCCTCTCAATCTTACTGGGCTGTATACCCTCTCTGACATACAGATCCAACCCTTCCCCCCCTATCCTTCCGATATAATATATAACCGGGAATCACCGTATCCCACTGATTTTCCTCATCCCACCAAGTTTCTGAAATACCCACAATGTCTATTTTTCCCTCTGACACCAAGCACTCCAACTCCCCGATTTTACCTCGGACACTTCTAGCATTTGTATAGAAACAGCTTTAATTTCCCATACATGTTAAGCCTGCAACCTTCCTCTTGCTCTCTCAAGACCTTGTCAGGCAGTCCATATCACTAGCCATAGTTGTAGTGGACAATTCCAATCCACCTCCCTGTAGAAAAGCAACAGGTACCCCCTCATCTCTCTGAGATGAGCCAACCCGAACCAGAGACTTTTCATCTCCTGTCGGCTTTCCCCCAATATTCAGTTTAAAAACTGCTCTGCCACCTTTTTGATTTTAAGCGCCAGCAGCCTGGTTCCTTCTCGGGACAAGTGGAGACCGTCTCGCCTGTACAGCTCCCTCTTGTTCCAAAAAGTATCCCAGTGCCTAACAAACCTGAACCCTTCCCCTCTACACCATCGTCTCATCCACGCATTGAGACTCCTGATCTCTGCCTGTCTCTCCGGCCCTGCGCGTGGAACAGGTAGCACTTCTGAGAAGGCTACCTTGGAGGTCCTGGACCTAAGTTTCCTGCCCAGCATCCTAAATTTCTCCTCCAGGACCTCACGACTGCATTTCCCCACATCGTTGGTGCCGACATGCACCACGACCACTGGCTCCTCCCCAGCACTATCTACCAGCCTATCTAAAACACGCGTAATGTCCGCTACCTTTGCACCAGGCAGGCAAGTCACCATACAGTCAGTACACAGGTTCACCACCCACCTGTCTACCTGCCTAAGAATCGAATCACCAACTACCAAGAGCCCCTCTCCCACCCTGCCTAGGAATGGTTCCTTGGTGCAAAAGGATACCTGTTCAGCAGCTAAAGAAGAGGTCCCTTCTGAGGGCACATTCCCCTTATCCTCAGCATGGTGCCCTGTTTCCCCTTGACCCTCATGCTCCCTGACCGTGGTGTGGCTGCCAGATCCAGAGTGGGACATATCTAACAAGTACCCGAGAATCTTCTCTGTGCACTTAACTGACTGTCTCTGCTTCTCCAGGTCAGCCCACCTTGCCTCAAGGGAGCACACTTGTTCCCTGAGAACCAGGAGCTCCTTGCACCGAGCACACACCCAAGACTTCTGTCCAGTGGGCAGATAGTCATACATGTGACACTCCATGCAAAACACTGGATAGCCCCCAACCCCCTAATGGGTTGGAATGGGTTGGAAGGGGCCATACAGGCCATCTAGTAGTCCAATCTCCTCAATGCAGGATCAGCCTAGAGCATATCTGACAAGTGTTTGTCCAGCTGCTGTTTAAAGACTGCTGGTGAGGGGGAGCTCACCACCTCCCTAGGCAGCTTATTCCACTGTTGTACAACACTTATTGTAAAAACGTTTTTCCTAATATACAGTCAGTACCTTCCCGCCCTTAATTTAAACCCATTTTTGCAAGTCCTATCCTCTGCTACAAACAGGAACAGCTCCCTGCGAAGTGACAGCCCTTCAAAGACTTAACAAGAGCAATCATGTCCCCCCTCAACTACTTCTTCTCCAGACTGAACATTCCCAAGTCCCTCAGCCTTTCCTCATACAGCTTGGTCTCCAGGTCCCCAATCATCCTCGTTGATCTCTTCTGCACCCACTCCATTCTGTCCGCATCCTTTTTGAAGTGAGGCCTCCAGAACTGCACACCATACTCCAGGTGTGGCCTGACCAATACAGTGTACAGCGGGGCCATGACATCTTGCACTTTGGATGCTATGCCTCTGTTGATACACCCCAAGATCCCTCTTTTATGTCACCATATCACACTGGCTGCTCATATTTAACTTAGGGTCCACCTGTACCCCAAGATCTTGTTCACACACACTGCTACTCAGAAGTGTATCCCCCATCCAGTATGCGTGTTCCTCATTTTTGTTACCCAGACGTAGAACTTTGCATTTATCCTTGTTAAATTATATCTTGTTCACGTCTGCCCACTTTTCTAGTGTGTTCAGATCTCGTTGAATTCTGTCTCTATCTTCTGGTGTGTTTGCTGTTCCTCCCAATTTGGTCTCATCTGCTAATTTAATGAGTAGCCCCTCCACACCCTCATCCGGATAATTAAAAAAATATTGAAAAGTACCGGGCCCAGAACCGAATCCTATGGCACCCCACTGGACACCTCCCTCCATTCAGATGAAATGCCATTGACAGCTACTCTCTGAGTGTGGTTCTCCAACTACTTTCCTATTCACCTAACTATCCTAGAGTCCCGTCCACAATATTCTAGTTTATACATCAGAACATCATGGGGAACCCTGTCAAAAGCTTTACTGAAATATAGGTAAACAACATCAACAGCATTTCCTCAATCCAGTAAGCTCATCACTCGATCAGAGAAGGAAATGAGGTTGGTTGGCAGGACCTGTTGAGGACAAATCCATGCTGACTTCCCCGGATCACCAAGTTGTTCTTTAGAGGCTCACAGATCAATCCCTTTAAAATCTGCTCCAGTATCTTCCCTGGGACAGAGGTCAGACTGACTGACCTGTAGTTTCCTAGGTCATCCCTTCTCCCTTTTTTGAAAATTGGGAAGACACCTGCCCTCCTCCAGTCTCGTGGCATGTCTCCCGTCCTCTGGCACAAAGCAAAGCATGGGCTGGCTAGGCAAAAAACTTGCATTGCTCTGAGACTGTCCTTCCTGCAGGCTAGTATCGCTCTCAGTGTTTGGGGCCTGAGTGCTTTCTTCATTCTTATTAATATGGCCCAGTCTTTGAGATCTGGACAGGAGCTGCCCCTGTTTTCAGAAATTTATCTGGTCAGGACTAGGAAGAAGGCCTTCTAAGCAGTGGCATCTTGTTTAAAATTCTTCCCCAGGCATATCCATGAGACCAATTTTTTAATCATTTAGGTGGTAGGTTAAAACTTTCTTATTAACCAAATCTTTTGACTTCTGAATTGAGCCTGTGGCATTATTTTTTGTCTTTTCAAAAATTTGACTTTTTTTTTTTTGTAATTCTTGGTGGGGTTTTTTTGGTAATTCTTGGTGGGTGTATATATACTGGAAAAATAATGATGTATATGAGGGGGTGCCACCTGGGACTGATATGGCAGATGCAGAACATGTGAACTGTGTGGTAGATGTTAGGTTCTAAGTATGGTAGGACCTAGCACAAAATGAATAATGGGTACTGGATCCTGTATTGCAAAGAATGTTTTTCTTAATGTTGTTAAGGCAATGAAGGATCTCCTAGGAGGCTGGCCAGTGAAAGCAGCTTTGAACTTCTTGATAGAAAAAGAGAATAATGTAAAGTTCTCTGTGAATTATCAGTTGACCCTTAACAGTGACAGATGTGTGTGGAGGGACCGGTAACTGTGGTAATGGCTCTTCCTGAAAAGTCTGCATTGTGGGGACATGAAGGATACCTGGCCTACCACTCTCCATTCCTGTGTTTAAAACAGCCTTCTGGTATGATTTAGTTGCTGGCTGTCAATAATATTGACAGCATTTAAAGGAGCAGCCTATTTTAGAATGGGGGCTACGGTGGCTCAAGTGGTTAAGACGCTGAACTGCAGACTGGAAGGTCAGTAGTTCAGCAGTTTGAGACCCGAGTGCCGCATGATGGAGTGAGTTCCCGTCTCTGGCCCCTGCTCCTGCCAACCTAGCAGTTCGAAAGCAAGAAATTGCAAGTAGATAAATAGGTACCACTTTGGTGGGAAGGTAACAGCGTTCTGTGCGCCTCGGCATCTAGTCATGCAGGCCACATGACCACGGAAATGTCTTCAAACAGCGCTGGTTCTTCGGCTTGGAAACGGAGATGAGCACCACATCCCTAGAGTTGGATTTGACTGGCTTTTGAGTAAGGGAAACCTATTTTAGAATATGTTGAGTCTAGACAGGGAAAAGATGTGGATGATGGGTCCCTGTTTGCAAATTAAGGGGGGGGGGAGTTGTCACTCAGTGTAGATGATGAAAGCGTTGCTAGATACCAAACCAGTTTACTGGTTGCTTACTGCAATGCCTCAAGGCTGTGCGCCAGAGGACACAAATGGCTGTCCAATATGTGAACTAGCATGTGGGAGGACTGAAGACAGGAGGAGGAGAAACGGACTGATACATCATTTGCAAACTGCTATTCCCTTGGCACCTTTTGGGTTTGAAGGGTGATAAGGAATATTGTGAGAGAGTGCTCCTCTGGTGGTGGTAGATTGCTTATAATCACTGGTTAATAATGTCTCTGTAGGAATTGGAATGGACACTTGTGTTATTCCCTTAAGGCATGGAGGCCTATCTCTGGTACAGACAACAGATTACATTTATCCTATTGTGGATGATCCTTATATGATGGTAAGTTGCCTAAACATTTGTCTCTTGCTGTTATCAGAATTTTGAGAGAAAGAGTGGTTACTTGGTGCTTATGCATGATCATCTGTGACACTGTCTTGTTCTGCTGTATACTTTATTAATAACTTACCAAGTTGTACAGTCCAAGAGTTCTGAGGACATCACAGTTTTGTGGTAGTAGTCAAAATTATGTTACTCCAGACATTTAATTGCTTATCCTGTCTGATGGATTTGTACTATTTGCTCCTGTAGTTCGCATACAATTACATTGTGCTGCATCCAAACAACTCTTTGCATTTTAACGAAAGGTGTGCGCTCTTAGGCAAGGAATTTCATTATTAGAACTACACGCTAAGAACATCAAGTAAAGCCTGCAATCAAATGTCACAATTCAAAGCAGTATGTGCATGTGAATTATAATGGCAGCGGCAGCAGTTGTATGATGTTATGACCAGCTATTCCCTTTTCAAAAATGACACGCTGCATTTTAAAAACAGTATAGCAAAGCATGTCCATGTTAGTGGGAATTGTAGGCTGCCAACATAAAACAAAATGCTTGTGACGTGTGCTGTCCCACATATACCTTTAAACTGCATCCAGGGTTTCTTACTGTATGAAGGCTAGATTCCTACATTCACCTTTCCAACTTAGAAATGGTGGATGATTCATTAAATTGTGTACAGTTGTCTTAGGAATAGCTTTCAAGTCCTGGTTTGTAAGAGGGTAGCCCTACATTAAAAATATTGTTATTCGCTATTTCCTTTTGGGGGGAGATTGTATTTTTCATATGTGCATGTGAGTGTCTCCCTTTCCAACTTAGAAATGATGGATGATTCATTAAATTGTGTACAGTTGTCTTAGGAATAGCTTTCAAGTCCTGGTTTGTAAGAGGGTAGCCCTACATTAAAAATATTGTTATTAGCTATTTCCTTTTGAGGGGAGATTGTATGTGCATGTGAGTGTGTGTGCACCTGGAAGTCATGGCGACTTCTGGTGACTGACCCCTGTTGGGGGCCTGGATGGTATTCAGAGAGGTGGCTGAATAAAGCCTGGCCTGCCTCCTGACTGCTGGTATTCCAAGGAAGTCTCCCATCCAAGTACTTGCCAGAGTCGACCCTGCTTAGCTTCCGAGATCTGACAAGATCAAGCTTGCCTGGGCTATCCTGGTCAGGGCATTAGCTATTTACTCTTAACTCTAAAATGGATGGAGAAAAATCAAATCTTGCACAAGTGTCAGCAGTATTCCAGTTTATGGGATCTTAGGCAAAACATGCAACAGGCCAGTGTCAAAGACTGTTAAAACACAAATTCTAAGGAAAGAGACGGCTGAGCTGCAAACCTGTGGTCCGGTTGTGACTGGGAAATTCTGCCATTTTCTTCATAGAATTCTGAACTCCAAAATAATACATATAAACTGTTCTGAATATATTACAAAAGGCAATTTGGGGGATAGCATCTTAAAGTGTTGAGTATTACTGAGTCAAGAGATTTAATTCTCTTTATAAGATCTGCTCTTAAATCAGAAATCTGATTTCTTTGCTGTTTTGAAATATCTGTGGTCCTCAACATGAACCAGCAGCTTGCTTGGCAAACACTGAAGATAATGGTCAGGTTTTGGTAATTCTAGCGTACAGAAATAATGTGCAATGCTTTTAACTATTATGTGTTTATATCGCCTAGGACTTATAAAGGAATATGTCTCAATTTTCCGCAACTGTTGAATCTTGCATCACTGTATTTTATTTGCTGTACAATCAGCTGTTTGTAATTTAAGGCCAATCCTCAATGTATTTACAGTGCAGTGAGTTGAACCTATTGTAAAATCAACACCCATATAGTCCTGGCACACTTTTTGTGTAATGTCCCACATTCAATACATGCTAAAAGATTTTTCTGTGGTAGTTCTGCAAATGACTTCAACCATATGTATTGCAGAGCCACTGCCAGCTGGAATGGATTGATCAATTTCTGACGCAGTATAGAGCAACGTCTACTCTAGTAGCACTAAGCATTGTATTAATCATATTATGATCTAATTTCCAGATTGCCTTTATTCTAAATGTCTCATTTTTGCATTATTTTGTTAAGACTGTTTTGTCTTCAGAGCAGGAAAGAAATTGCTAAAAACACAATAGAGCAGAATCTAATCATATGGATTTTATCTTCTAGAATAACTTGTTAGTGTTTATGAAGATAATTCACATTGGTAACATGAGTTCAGTGTAGAATATTTTTAAAGTGAAAAACCAGTATAATTGAAATTGGGGATCTCTGCTGTTAAATAGCTTTAATAATGACATAAATAGATTGTGGAGTGAGGTGTATTAAATCAGTTGGCTTCGGATTTGCTTAGAACTAGGCAGTTCATTTGTTTCCAAATATACCTAACCAATTAGGTTGGGGGGGTGCAGAATCCAACGCAAGTAACTAACAGAAATTTAATTCTGGTTTCAATCCTCCACTTGGGTAAATGAAGTCACTAAATCAAGATTGTTGTTTCAATTCTGGCCCTGCTGGTGAACCTCCTGATGGCATCTGGGTTTTGGCCACTTTGTGACACAGTGTTGGACTAGATGGACCATTGGCCTGATCCAACATGGCTTCTCTTATGTTCTTAATTTGAAGCCAGAAGTTCATGAATCTGGTTCCAAATATAGTTGGCTGCTGAGCCTATGACATAATATATTAACCATGTTCCAAGTATTGCTTCATGTTAAATGTTCTAAGTGTCTCATTCCTTTCTGGTCTCTCTCTCTGTTGCTTTTTCCTTTGCTTCTTCCTTCTCTTCACCTGCTTTGCTGTTAAATGGGTATGCTCTCTGAAGAGGATCCTGGGGTGCATTTTGTTTTTGCTTTAAATTGTGTTGTGTGCTGATGGCACTATTTAAATAATATGCATTTGGGCTCTGCTTCTTTTCAGGGACGCATAGCCTGTGCCAATGTTCTGAGTGATCTTTATGCTATGGGAGTCACAGAGTGTGATAACATGTTGATGCTTCTTGGGATCAGCAATAAAATGACAGACAGGGTAAGTTCTGTATGTAGAGATATATGGTGCAAATGTATTCATGTAAATTGTACGGTGAATTATGCACACTGTATCAAAATAAGTGGTCTTTTGCAGTGTTACACACAGAGAGCAACAACTTCTCTGACTGGTCAATCTTTGGTCCTCCTGTCCACCATTTTGTCTTGCTGTTAAATGATGTTTCTCTCACTTGATTTTGTAAGATAGCAGCAGAATGGATATAAACAATTTTATATGTTGTGTTTACACCAGTGAAGGCAAAAGACAGTCAGTTTGAAAATAGAAGTTAACTATTATGAAAAGCCCCAAAACAGTATAAACAGTGAAGCAGTCCAAAACAGTTAGTGTGAAAACAATATGAGTAGTGATCATTCACTGGCTAATTGTCCCATTTCCGTATCTTCTTCAGAACTGCTTTGCTTTACTTCATATGTGGCCTTGTTAATTTGTAGGAAACAAAAATCCAGCAAATACAACCAAAATGCTACATTTATATTCCCACATACCAGCAAAGAAAATTATGAAACTTACTGTTGCTATCTGCCAATATAGAAGGAATTAACATGAATAAAACACCAATCTGTAACAAATAAAGTAAAATACAAACCAGTTAGTAGAATAACTTATAGAAAAAAAGAAAAAATGTACCAGGAAAAGTTAACAAACTGGACAGCGGAACTGCGCAATCGCACCCAACACTGCCTCCACGTTGAGCTCCTACAAAAGAATTAAAATTTAAAAAGCGGACTGCAATTTAAATATCACAGCTTTACTAAAATACTGCGGAAGGCTAAGGGATCAAAAGGTGGTAAGAATCCCTCCAAACCAATGCCTAGAGCAATGCAAGAAAGCCGACATTCTTCAGAAGAAGAGGAACATACCATAAGACTGTAAAGAATTACATTGGAGGAGATTGCAGCTACAGTGTCCTTTCCTTCCTTCCTTCCTTCCTTCCTTCTAACGTTCTATTTCCCTTTACTTCTAAAAAGAGGTCACTTACAAAAAAGAGGATAAGCCACAGTACATTGGAGCAGACTTCCGTTACTGCCTTCCTTCCTTCCTTCCTTCCTTCCTTCCTTCCTTCCTTCCTTCCTTTCTCTTTTCCCCAAGTAAAGCAGCCTGGAATATAAAGGGCAGAGGAGCACGCAGGAAGGGCCAATGGGATACCCCCCCCCCAACACCTCCCCAATGGGCTTTGGAACTCCTCCGGAGTCCCAGTGGGAGGGAACGCTGATTAGAAGAGCTCCAGTTAAAGAAGAAGAATATAATTATAGTAAAGATTTTAAGAGAGTAGAGAAATGAAATGGAGTAATATATTTTTTTCTTTCTATTTTACTTTATAGTAATTCATCTTACAGTATAAATTTTGAAATGAAATATATGCAGAACATATGGTTATAAATATAAGGAGACTTAACAAAACATTGCTCAAATACATATAAGGAAAATTATGGGAAATAGAGTTTATAATTGCATTTGTACTGGAGTAATTTTGAGAGGCAGAAATATTTATTTAGGCATGCCAATTTCTATTACATTTAATCAATGACTAATTTACAAATGAAGTAGAGGCAGAATAGAGTTGGCAACTTGTAGTAGATTAATTAATGTTAATTCTATTTCTTGTAGTAAAAAAAGCTTGTAATTAATTTGTAGGATTTGGAAATTAATAAAATTTAATTTGAGAAGAAGAAAAAAAAGTTAAACTCACAGTACAAATCCAAAAAGACATGAATTCAAATTAGCATGTGCAGTCCAGGTACCAATGAGGCCGAAGTAAGAGCCAGCTGCATCAGCCAAACATATATATAGGTTGGATGCCCATCCTTAAAGGGCCAGCAGTAACTGTTATCAGTACGAAATTGAAGGACAATGAGAGCAGCAATGTGAATGTGCAGTATAAAATTTGCAATATACAGTGTAGTAAAAGTAGGAATACAGAATTGAATGCCAATACCCAGGGGTCGTTTCGTAGAAAAAGAGATAGGGAAACTCATTAGCATAAGCCATTAGCATATGCCACACCCCATGACATCACCGGAAGTGTGTGTCAGGTCCCACAGAAATCAACAAAGTCACTTTCAAAGAAAGGGTTTTTTTTATTGAAGCCATGAGTCACTGAACAGGTCTCTGTTTAGAATAACGTGAGTCTACAAAGGCAGGTAGTATAAAGGAAATTCCTAATGGTTCTAGCCAATGATTATAATTCCCGCTCAGCTACAAGGAGCAGTTCTACGCACCAATTCTCTGGGAAAGTAACGGCACGTCGTTATCACTACAAAGCAATTCACACAGTTTGGCTAATTAAAACACAAGCGCAGAACTCTCCCCTCTCACACCTGTGACCTTGAAGCGGAGAGGATTTCACTAACAAGCTGGGTCATCCTTGCGTCTAGGCATGCGCATGAATCTCTAAGCAGACATTAACATAGAACGAACAGCATCACCAGGGGGGTTACAGGGAACAGAACATACACAGAGTGTAGCAAGTAAGTAGCAAATATATAACACCATCAGAACCATTGGCAGCTTGCTGACATAGTGTCATAAGGCCACACACCCCACCCCCAATGGTCCCGGCCGCCAGCGGCGGCCTTGCAGCTCCACTGCCGAGCCCCATGAGGGGCCCGGTGGTGGACCTGCAAGGCCGGCGGGAGTGCAAGGAAGCCCCGGTCTGTGTCATGTGCCCCCCCCCCCTACCTCACCCGGGGGAACTGTGATCCCCCGCGATCCCCCCCGAAATGACCTCTGCCAATACCTAGGAATACAAAATTAAATGACAGTGTGCAAAGCAAACTGCCCAGGTAGGCATTGTGCAAGTAATGTAGAACGTGGCATTACAAAGTTACAAAGCAATGCTGTATCTACTTCAATATGAACAAGGGCGTAGACTTTCCAATTTCCCGGGGGGGGGGGGGGGGGGGGGGGGCGGGAGGGCGGCGAAGTGGTGCTGATGGGCCCGGGCAGAAGGCGAGGGGAAAGGAGGTGACGGCCAGCAGCGCCGATCCAGGCAGGGCTCGGGCAGCCGGCCCTGCAGTGGCAGTTCGGCCCCATTATATCCTATGGGCCATTGAAGTCAATGGTGAAAACATAGGGTATATTCTGGGGGCTGGAGGGGAGGGGGTTTGAGGGAGAGGCTCCAAAATCGCAGGGTAGCTGCTAGAGCCTCTCCCCAAGATACCCGCCATGTTTCAGGAACATTGAACTGGGGGGTCCAATTCTACAGGCCCCCAAACAGGTTGCCCCCATCCCCTCCATTGTTCTCTATGGTGGGGGGAAAAGTTACTGAAATTAACTGGAAGCATGTAAACAAGCTGTGGCAAGATCAAAGGCTTATTCAGGTTTATTTGTCCCAGAATTGGTGATCAAGTAAATAATGGGGATTACTTTTGAGTGGTGCTAACTGTTCCAAAACAATTGTAGTGATGAATGACTAGAACAGAGCTGAAATGGAAGACTGGTTCCTGTAAATGTTTTTGTCCCCCCCCCCCTATTTTTTCAGGATGCAAAAAGATGGCCCCATTTGGTTTTGAATTAAAATGAGTATCTGTGTGATGGGGTAGTCTTTGTAATGTACTGCTTTCAATGGAGTGCACATCCATTTGGGGATGTGCATCCCTTTAACAGCAGAAGACTGACACAATATTGGCAAAGGCAATGAACCTCTGGCATGCAAACTATGCAGAGGTCAGAGGCACCTTCTCTGCACAGGTTGCAGCACAAGTTAAATGAGACTTTCATCTAATGCAATGCAGGGAATGGTTCTTCTGCCTCACCAGCCTCATGATTAAAGTGGGCCTTAATCTATCTCCAGATTGGACCTGAGATTGTCGAAATATTTTGAAACTATGGGAATGGGAAGTGGATATTCTGAAAGAAATGTGGAAGTTTGAGGCAAAATTATGAGAATTAAACTTACATTGTGCAATTTATGACTAATTTAATATATACAATTGGGCTGTTTGGTGTACTTATAAAACTAGGTATAAAGAACTTGCTTTGGTCAAACAATAATTGGAAAAATACCCACTGTTAGAAAGAGAGCAGAAAGCTGTTGTGCCCAGGTTTAGCTTGATGTTGCCTGTTGGGGAAATTAGGAAAAATTATACAAATCTAAGCATTTAAAATAGAAGCTGTCAGCCTCCACATTCAGAGGCAGTAAATCTCTGAATATCACTCACAGTAGGCAACATCAGGAAAGGCCTCAGCCTCTATGCCCTGTTTTTGGCCCTGTTTTGGTAAGAAAAACAGTATTAAGGAGCAAATCTGGAAATTAAATTGAACTTTATTATAACACAAGCGGGGAACCCACATATGTTTGTAGGAAGGCACCTTCTGTTCCCCTCCCCACACTACTTCATCTTTCCTTCTTCCTGGCACTCTCTCCATCCTCTCCCCTTTCACTGCTTCTTTTTCCCCTTACCCACCTACCAGCCTTTCCAGCTCCCTTTCTCATTATATTTAAATTCATTTATACCATGCCTTTCTCCAGTTGGGGACCCAAAGTAACTTATATTGTTCTGGTTTCCTTTATTTTGTCCTCACAACAACCCTGTGATGTAGGTTAGATAGTGAGTGCCTGGCACAAGATCACCCATTCGTGGCATAGGGGGCTTCCCAGATTCTAGTCTGATACTCTTGCCACCACACTGTTGTTTGTGCAATGGGGGTTGTCAAATAGTAGTGAAGCCCCAGGTGGTCACTGTTTGGCTTGCATGAGTCATGCAAATTGTATGGTAGTGAGTCACGTGATGGTTGCTGTTAGGCTTGGCTTTGATTAATTCTCCCTCCAGGGCAGGGGGAGCAGTGGTGGACTGGGAGGCCAGAACTACCCCGGAAAGGGCCCTGCCCTGTCTTCTACTGGCAGAAACCAAGGTTTGAAGGCTGGTAATGCTGTAGGGTTGCAAAGCAACCTTAGTGGCCGCTGCAGAGGGCATTTATTTCTTAAAGATACAGGTGCTGCTTCTATTATTTGGAGGGTTAGCCCCCGCTTTGTGTGTGTGTTTTAAGATTTCAAATTTTTATGCAAACCAGGTGCTCTTCTCAGGTTTGTAGCGAGCTCTGTCTTGTCTGTTCATGGCTCCAGTTTCCAGATTTAAGTATCCGTAGATGGGAGAATGTTGATAATTAGATACCGTGTTGATTATAATCGATCTCTTCATTAGCATATCCCTGCTGCACACAGTATTTTAGTAAATGGGTAGGGATTAGGGAAAGCACTCTCCATTTTTCTGTGTTTGTGTGCTCTCCCCCCTGTCACTGTGGGTTAGGTCCAGTGGTATTTCGATTATAGGAACTCTCCATGTGTAGTTGTCTTCTCCCTTTAGCATTCATCGTAATGCATGCTGAATGAAAGGAGAGATAAAGTGATTCTCTGTTAACTTCACTAACACGTGAATGAAAAAAGTCAGACCACAGCAGTGGGTGGTTGGGAGAGATCTATCTTTAGTGCTGATTTCAGAATTGAGGTACAGCAATGACCTTGTACTTGGCTAAGATGTCTTTTCACACTCTTTTTTGGGACATGCAGATATATACTCTGCATGTTACTTTGGCATATCAAGCAGCTTTATAGGTTTAGTTTAATCTGGAATTTAGAGTTCTATGATGTTCAGTTGCCCAGCTTGTATTTACAGTTCCATACAGCTACTTGGGGGTGGGGTGCAGAATAAAACAAGAGGGAATCAGTGTGGTAGTGAGTGGTACCACATGTGATAATTTACATCCCACAGGACCATTCTTTACTTTTAAAGATTATATTGTTTTATCTTCTCTTACAGCAGTCGTCTTCACCTTGTAAGACTATCACATTTTGCGTAAGAACTATGCTGGGCCTGTAAGAAGAGCATAGGCTTGAATCCTTGAAATAACTGACATATACTCTGTTTTGTTTACTTGTGTTCTTGGAAAATGGCTCTTACAAGAAAACCAAAAACCTCATTCTATTCTCTTTCCACTTGGAATAGCATTTTCTATTATTAGCTATAAATGGATTCAGTAGGTAGATGCTGGTTAGTTGCTGAAATATTCTAATGCAGACTTTTTTCTTCTAAGGATGGGAAAACATTCAATTTTTCTACTTGTCTTTTGATCTATAGGAAAGGGACAAAGTGATGCCTCTCGTTATACAGGGTTTCAAAGACGCAGCAGAGGAGGCAGGAACATCAGTGACTGGTGGTCAAACAGTGTTAAATCCTTGGATCGTTTTAGGAGGAGTAGCTACAACAGTCTGTCAGCCTAATGAATTTATAATGTGAGTTGAGGTATTAATGATACTGAATTAAAAGATGAAGTTACTTCTAAAATTATGGGTAGTTAACATTTTCTAACACAGTTGTTAAATATAACCAATTAAAAATCTGTTCTGTGGATGGTAGTGTGTTAATATTTTGTGTATTTTGTATATTTTTAAAAATATTAAAAGCATTTATATGCCCATCTTGCTCTTGATCATCACAGGATTAGTGACTATAAACACTATTTATAAATCTGGTGGTGGGAAGTACTATCAAGTCACAGCTGACTATTAGGGTTTTCAAAGCAAGAGACATTCAGAGGTGGTTTGCCATTGCCTACCTCTGTGCAGTGACCTGGACTCCTTGGTGGTCTCCAATCCAAGTACTAACCAGGGCCAACATTGCTTAGCTTCTATTTGCCAAGATCAGGCTAGCCTGGGCCACCCAGGCCATGGCTATAAATCTTATAGAGATTATAAATCTATGTTGTTGTTGTTTTAAAAAAATAAATAGTTGTCTAGAGTAGCTACTTCTAAAGTTAGGGTTGCCAGCCCCCAGATCCAGGTAGAGGTTCCCCCACTTCTGGGGGCTCCAATCTGCCCCTGTTGACCATTGGGGGAAGCCACCCCTAAGCCGTGGCCACCCCTCTCCCTCCTGCAGCGATTTAAAGGGCTTCAGCTGAGCGGTGGGGAGCACGTGGTCTGCTGATCAGCTGGAGGGCCCTTTAAATCTTTCAGCGGAAAGGGAGGGGGGCTGTTGCCTGGCACAGCTCCACTCACAAAAAGACCCTTTAAAAATTTAAAGGGCCCTCCAGCTGATCAGCAGACCACGTGCTCCCCACCGCTCAGCTGAAGCCCTTTAAATCGCTGCAGGAGGGAGAGGGGTGGCTGTGGCTTGGGGGTGTCCCCGCCCACGGAATGCCCCCCAAATCCCCCCGCTGGAAGGATGAGGGGACCTGGGAACCCTATCTAAAATCCTGAGTAGCATCCTTTCTGTAACATTATTTATGAGTGTGTGCTAGCTTGCATTTCTGGATATTAATGATGTATGCTTAAAATATTTTAAATGGGTGCCAACCAGTGTTCCCTCTAAGCTGAGTTAGTGTGAGCTAGCTCACAGTTTTTAGCCTCCGGCTCACTGTCTTAGCTCAGGAAGGATGGCTCCAGAGCAAACTAATTTATGCAGTAGCCCAATCGCTCACTCATGACTTTAATGCCAGTAGCTCACAAAGTAGGATTTTTGCTCACAAGACTCCACAGCTTAGAGGGAGCATTGGTGCCAACATCTTTCTGCTTTTCAGTTTCTAAAGTAGAAACTTATGCCCTGACCTGGATAGCCCAGGGAAGCCTGATCTCGGCAGATCTCGGAAACTGAGCAGGGTCGCCCTGAGCAAGTACTTGGATGGGAGACCTCCTTGAAATACCAGAGGCAGGAGGCGGGGGCAGGCTTTATTCAGCCACCTCTCTGAATATCCTCCAGGCCCCTAGTAGCAATCAGTCACCAGAGGTCGCCATGACTTCCTAGTGCACACACACTCACATGCGCGCACATACACACATAGGCACATATTAAAAAATACCAAAAAATAATAAAATAAAATAGAAACTTACCTTTACTATGCATACAGCTTCACAATTAATATGGTTATATATTCTTGATGTGAATGCTAATTGACTGTGGATTTCTGTAATTTGTAGAAAAAGGCCATTGAACAATACATTTTGAGAATGCCTGGAAAGTCATATTAACAAACAGCCCAGCAGTTGCCATTTTGTTCAGCTGTCTCTTACATTACATTGAGTTCAGTAATGACCATTGGGGAGAAAAATATTCCCTTCCACTAAATCCTGGAACTTTTCCGAACTCCATTATAACTCATCAGAATCTGAGGTTTTAAAATATTTTTCTAGTGGCCATGTTGGTGAAGCCTAGGTTTTCTTGAGGCCTTAAGTGCTTTTATGTAGAAGTACGTTCCATGGAAGCTTGGTGTAGATATTTCTTCACTGTATGCAACTTGAGATGTGTTATATCTGGTTCAGTGTAAGGTATTTAATCTGCTGTCCCCTAAATGAATGAATTTCACAGGTTACTTAACTTTGAGAACTATTGAATATGTTCTGTTGCAGATCTGTGTTTGGAGAATAATCACTTCACATGTGTGTGTGTGTGTGCCTTGTTTGCAGGCCAGATAATGCTGTACCAGGAGATGTGCTTGTGTTAACTAAACCTTTGGGAACACAAGTGGCTGTAGCTGTTCACCAGTGGCTAGATATAGTAAGTAAATTAGTCTGAATTACATTGGGGTGAAGACTGATGGGAATGTTAAGTGGTAGTGCATCAGAGATGGGACTGCAATGAATTTATTAGAATATACATTTAATTGGATGGGCTTGGTATAAATACATACAGCTATCTGTTAGACCATTGGTCTGTCTAACGCAACATGATGTACATTGACTGGAAGTTCTTTTCCAACACTAACTACCTGAGATCCTTTAACTGGAGATGCGATGGCTTGAAACTGGGACCTTGTTCACGAAAAGCACATCCTCTCTATTATTGAGCCACGAAAAACTACCATGTTACTGAAGCTACACTCTGAAAAAAACTTACACAAATCATATTCTGGGGTATATTTCTACCTCAAGCCAAATTTCCAATGTATTGTGGGGCAAAACATGTCCCATAGATTTTCTTTTGTGGTGTCAGGTCATTGTGTTTCACAGTATCTAAACACTCTTACTCTGAAAACAGACTTTTACAGGAGGCAGAATGTGTCTTTTAAATAGATTCAATATGCCTTCTGCATATTGAATAATTCACATCAGTTGTGTTCCTTTATAAATCTACAATTTTTATTTTCAGTTTGAAACAATGAAACCTATGTTTTGGACGTATGATATTAGAAAATTAACCAACTTCTACAATTTTAAAGGAAGACATCTAACATTAATAATTGCTAAGATTCACACCTGGTGTATTTTTACATCCCAAGAACATGTATCTGTGTGGTGAGGAGAATGGTTTCCAGTTTATCAGGAGGGGCTGTCATTCTCCCAAGCACTGAAAATACATCCCTGGATTTGTGTTTTCTGATTTCTGCACCCCAGTGTCTATCCAATGGCAAAATGAGTATATTTCTGAGTACTGTTTTGTGTACAGAAAGAAAACTGTAAGTGGAATTGTTTACTGATGTGCAGGAAACCATGTCCTAAGAGGGGGAAAATGCAGAGACAATTCTGTGTGTATTCTGTAAGTGCACCCTGGGTTCACTGAGTCATATTGCTTGGACCTTCTAGAAGCTTATAAATGAAGAAAACTGAGAATAGAAAGCAGAGATTTAAACCCTAATTTCGTGATGGTTTTTGTTCATAAATTTGCTAATTATTGGCAGAAAGAGACTTCAGAAATTTATTCCACATGGCAATATTGAAACATTTCACTGCAAGAACATTTCTGGTTGTCTTTTCACATAATGGATGTATAGAGTTATCATTGTTTAGCTTACACTTCAAAAGAGTTTTTGTGTGTGTTTGTATGCATTTACTGCTCTTGATGCAAAATTCATTGACGGGGAAGAATTGTAGAACAAAATGACATATTTTTTTCTGACTCCAGTTCACCTTACATGTTTATTGTTCCCATGACACACAGACTTGCAAATTAAGGATACTCTGAAATAGTATATATTTCAAATGTTTCTAATTTTCCTTGGTTGTCAAGCAGCACGTTCTTGATAATGAAAAATAGTGCAAGAGATTCTGATATTGCTTGTAAACAAAATACATCTTTTTGTGGCTGTAAGAAAGCTCTTTAGGTATGTGCACATGGTTAGGGGTTCTTTTCTTTCATTTTTGTAAAAGGACAAAGAAGAAATAAAGCTGTGATTGGCCAATATGTGTATCCTATGTATTCCCTGAAATTCTCCTCAAGATGGTAGTGGAGAAATCTTGTGGCTTACATGCTCTTCCCCTCTTGCTGTAGGATGACATGAATGATCATTTGGCTGTTAGAATGTGGTTAGCTCCCTTGCAGTGAGAGAGTAACAGTGCAGTCCTAAGAATAATTACAACCTTCAGAGTCCATGGACTTTGAAGGGTGTAACTCTGCTTAGTAGTGGCCTGGAAGGGTGCAGTCTTAAGGCCTATCTGTAAACATAATTGCTTAGGACAGCAGCTTAAAACGCATACAAAGATGCATCTATGTAAATCTAGCACAGTTATAGTTATGCAGGCATGGGTGTCGGAAGTAAGCAGTGCTAGTAGAGATATGGCCTGGTGGGGAGAGGAAAAATGGAAAAAATCAGGGAAACTTTTTTTCAGTTGTTCTGGTGAAAAAATGGGAAGTTTTGGGGTGCACTGGGGGAAAAAACTCCCATTAAATATTTTCTCTTTGCTTCATAAGGCAAGGTTTTCACACTCAGAGTGAATAGAACTTAAATTCTAAGGTCTCCCAGTTTTTCCAGTGGAAATTTTGGGGTACACCGGAAAACACTCATGCTTTTTTTTTTTTGCTTTTTGAATGTATGAAATGAAAGAACGTCTTACTCAAATTTGTGGTATGGACATCCTGTATATATAAAAGTGTTGGCACTTTCTGGCTCTCCCATTGGTTGTGCTGTGTGCTCCATCAGCCATTGGTCCATCAACCATCACTCATGCCTTTGGCTGGACGCTGGGTCCAATCCTCTCCCACACCCACTGCCAGCCTGAATACTCTTCCCTGACAGAATAAACTGCCAAAACGGCTGTCTCTCCTGAGAAAGACATTTCTCCTGCAGCTGGCTGGCTATTGAAGTGGGCCACCAGCCATTCTCTTCTCCTGCTGTGGGGCTAACCTTTCCCTCAGTGGCTGTTGCTAGGCAACCAAGCTTCGTTCTCTCAGTAAAAAGGCAAAGGCAGGAGGCCCTTTCTAAGCCTTCTTTGGCCTTTGTGATGAACTCATTGGGGCCAGTCCTGACTAGGGTTGCCAGCTCCAGGTTGGGAAATTCCTGAAGATTTTATGGTGGAGTCTATGGAAGCCAGAGTATGGGGAGAGGAGAGGTCTCAGCTGAATAGATTGCCATAGAGTCCACCCTCCAAAGCAGTTATTTTCTCCAGGGGGAGAGAGATCTGGAGTTCATTTGTGATACCCAACAGTCTTCAGGCTCCACCTGGAGGTTGGCTACCCTAGGTGTAGCAGCGCTTCAGAGCATGGTCTGCCAGATCCAGGTTCTTCCTGTGGAAGCTGAGTGGGTGATTTCAGACCAATCACAAACTTCCAGCCTAACCTACCTCACAGGGTTGTTGCACAGATCAAAAGGGGGAGAGCAGAATGATGTAAGCTTCTTTGGTCCCCACTGGGGAGAAAGGCTGTACTTTTCCTCTGAGGAATCATTGCTGCCAGTCTCCAGGTGAGGGCTGGAGATCGCTCAGAATTAAAACTGCTCTCCAGATGGCAGCTTTGCAGGGTGGACTCTGTGTCATAAGAACATAAGAGACCTAACCCGACCGCTCTGCAGTTTCATGGAGTGCCCACGAGTTCTTGTATTGTGAGAAAGGGAGAAAAGTACCTCTTTCTTTACCTGCTCTTTCCCATGCATAATCTTATAAACCTCGATCATGTCACCCCTCAGTCGTCTTTTCTCCAAGCTAAAGAGCCCTAAGCGCTTTAACCTTTCCTCATAGGGAAAGTGTTCCAACCCTTTTATCATTCGAGTTGCCCTTTTCTGCACTTTTTCCAAAGCTATAATATCCTTTTTAAGGTGTGGTGCCCAGAACTGCACACAGTATTCCAAATGAGGTCTCACCATTGATTTATATAGGGGCATTATTATATTGGCTGATCTGTTTTCAATACCCTTCCTAATAATCCCCAGCATAGCATTGGCCTTCTTTATTGCAGTCACACACTGTCTCGACATTTTCAGTGAGTTATCCACTACAACTCCAAGATCTCTCTCTTGCTCAGTCTCTGCCAGTTCAGACCCCATCAATGTGTATTTATATTTAGGATTTTTGGCTCCAATGTGCATCACCTTGCACTTGGCCACATTGAACCCCATTTGCCATGTTGACGCCCACTCGCCCATCCTTGACAGATCCCCTTGGAGTGCCTCACAATCCTCACTGGTTTTCACCACCTTGAACAACTTTGTATCATCCGCAAATTTAGCCACTTCACTGCTTACTCCCATCTCCAAATCATTAATGAACAAGTTAAAAAGCAGTGGACCAAGTACTGATCCCTGTGGTACCCCACTGCTTACCACCCTCCACTGAGAAAATTGCCCACCTACACTCACTCTCTGTTTTCTATGAACTAGCCAGTTTTTGATCCATAAAAGGACTTGTCCTTTTATCCCATGATTTTTGAGCTTGCTTAGGAGCCTTTGATGAGGAACTTTATCAAAAGCTTTCTGGAAGTCAAGGTAAATAATATCTATTGGATCCCCCTTGTCCACATGTTTGTTCACCCCCTCAAAGAACACTAATAGGTTAGTGAGACAAGATCTTCCCTTACAGAACCCATGTTGAGTCTGCCTCAATAGGTTTTGTTCATCTATGTGCCTACTAATTCTTTCCTTAATAATGGTTTCCACCAATTTACCCGGTATCGACGTCAGACTGACTGGCCTGTAATTTCCCGGATCTCCTCTGGAACCCTTTTTAAAGATGGGAGTGACATTAGCTACCTTCCAATCCTCAGGAATGGAGGCAGATTTTAAGGAAAGATTACATATTTTTGTCAGGAGATCCACAAGTTCACATTTGAGTTCTTTCAGAACTCTCGGATGTATGCCATCTGGGCCTGGTGATTTATTAGTTTTTAAGTTGTCTATCAGTTTTAGGACCTCCTAAAACTCCTATACCCTGCTGAGGTTGCTTCCCCTCCTGCTTGGGTCCCCAGTGCGGAGGAGAAAGACTGTACTTTTCCTAGGTAGAGGCTGCAGGTGGGAGGGAGAAATGGAAAGCTGAAGTCAGAGGGGCAGATAAAGGTAGGTTGATGGTTGGCTGAGAAGCAGATAGGGTTGCTAACTCCAGGTTGGGAAATTCCTGGAAATTTGAGGGGTGGAGCTTGGAGAGGGTGGGGTTTGAGGAGGGGTGGGTCCTCAGACAGGTATAATGTCATAGACTCCACCCTCCAAACCAGCCATTTCCTTGTGGGGAACCATTGTTGGTAATCTCCAGGGGAGGGCTGCAAATAACTCAGAATTATAAGTGCTCTTCAGATGGCATAGATCAGTTCCTCTGGAGAAAACTGTAAGCTCTTTTCATTATACCCTGCTGAGGTCACCACAGCAAATTGATGCTGAGTGCCCAAGGCCAGGGCATCCACCCAGAGCCTCTTTCTACAGCCCATTGTATTTATTTCCATAATGGAAATAACCTTTAAGTTCTTTTCATTATACCCTGCTGAGGTCACCACAGCAAATTGATGCTGAGTGCCCAAGGCCAGGGCATCCACCCAGAGCCTCTTTCAACGGCCTGTTGTATTTATTTCCATAATGGAAATAAATACACGACAGTGTTATTTCCTATGTATACTATAGATATATAGCACTGTCAAGAATATTTTTTTGTTTAAATGTTTTTTGTTTGTTTGTTTAAATGTTTCATTTCCCCCTGAATCTCCATTTCCCCCCCTATGGCATCAATATTTTCAGAAATTTTATGTCTTTGTAGTAGAGGGTTTAGTTGATACTCTTAATTCCTCCAGCTCACAATCCAGTACTGGTTTAATATTATGTTGGTGAAAAGACCAACATAATTCCCCCCCCCCTCCCCATGTTCCATTGATCTGTGCGGCCATGGCACAGATTACGTTACCAACTGAGTCTATAGACAGATGCAAGTCTCCTAACCTAGTGGTTCCCAACCTTTTTGATATGTGACTAGGAGTGTGCCCAAGAAAAACAATTGGTGTATTTCAGGTTTCGGTGTACCCAAAAAATATCAGTATTTCCCAATATTCCCAAATTGTGATGATATTGAGATTTGGGAAATAACCAGGATTACTGAATTTTTCAGCTCGGCATT